ATACATATATATATACACATATACATATATATATATATATATATATATATGTGTGTGTGTATGTATGCATGTATGTATGTATGTATGTGTGGTTCTCGAATCTGATTGGCTGATAGCTGTGATATATTTAAGTAATATCAGCACCCGTAGAGCCTCTTTACCCTTTGTGTATTACTCCGCCCACATACAGCAAGCAAAAAGCAGACACTACAGATCTAAAGTTTAAAAGATGCTTGTTCAGCTGTTTAACTGTCAGCTTATGATTTGAATCTGGAAGAAAGTAGTTCCTCATACAAAAGGGTTTTTGAGACTCTCCATGTTTGATTTTGTTTTTATATACACAGTTATGGCGTCAAACTGTTGTATAAACACAACATCACACTCGTAGCAGTGCAATATGGCTGTATATTGGCACTGGTTGGGGCACTAAGGCACTCAGCCTGTGGCCTCGTGCCAATGCACGCCTCCCACAAGTGCCGATATACAGCCATAACGCACTGCTACTCATGTGATATTGCTCATATATATATATATATATATATGTGCAAAAATATAAAAAAAATTACATAACATATAACATACATATACATAATGCATTTGTATTAGATGTCTGAATGTTTTATATATAAATTTAAATAAATATTTTCTCAAATAAATATTTGCTTATACACACTCAATTCACACATATAATATATATAAATGCAAACTTTTATTTTGAATTATTTACATAATATGTCTGTGTACTGTATATTTCTTATGTATATATAAATACAAACACATACAATATATAAACGTACATAAATATAGAAAACTTTTACATATACATGTGTAAACTATGACATATATACAAACATAAAATACTAAAATATTTACTTATATAATAATATGTAATTTTGTTATTATATATATATATATATAAATGTAAATACAACCTTTTAATTCAGATTCAGTTGATCATAACTAATAATTTGATGGCAATAATAAACATAAAAAAGTACTTTGACCAATAGCGTGCAGGGATTGTGCATAATTGACCAATCGTGATGCGTGAGAATGCATTTAGAGAGATCAGTCAAAGCAATGCACCAAACATGCGTTTTTTTATTCAAGTGTTACTGCACAAACTGAACATTTCATGTCATTGAGCTAATAGTGCATAATTCATAAGTATACGTAATGAAGCACTTGCTCTATATAACAATTATTTTAGACTAGCGTAATTCTGGCCAGGATGATTATCGTTAAAGACGGCACATACGATCGCCCTAAGCAAGTCAACAAATCTCCATGACGAGCTGTGTTGTCCACAGCATCAGGGTTTGGGACTTTGTTTAGTTTGTTTATTTCTTTTGTTTTCCCTTTTTGTCGTTGTCTTCCAACATGCTGGTGACTCAAGCCGAGAGCCCTGTCTGTTTCTGCACACTGGGACAATACTGGAACCCGCATCTGCTTACGACAAAACTTGGAGATACCAAGTGCCAAATCAAGACTGGAAATACAGCTGAAGTCTGAATCATTTACCCTCATGTCAAAGTTTTATTCTTTTAGGAAAATTTCCCAAGTCACGAGTTTAAAGATATTTTAAACATAATAGAACTGATTTCATTGGTCTTTGCCATGATGACAGTGCTTAATATTGACTAGATATTCTTCAAGATACTGGTATTAAAGTGACATTCAAAGGCTTAATTAGGTTCATTAGGCAAGTCATTGTGTAACAGTGGTTTGTTCTGGAGACAACGGAGAAAAATGTTTCATAAGGAGGTTAATAATATTAACCTTAAATTTGATCTTGAAAAATTTTTCCACATGAACAAAGAAATATGACTTTCTTTAAGAAAATTATAGGAGATAGCTATTATTTAATTTATTTGCATATTTATTATTTATTTAGTCTATTTATTGTACTTATATATATATATATATACACACACACACACACACACACACACACACACACACACACGATTATATACAGTGCACCCGGGAAGTATTGACAGCAGCTGACTTTTTCCACATGTGTTTATGTTACAGTCTAATTCCAAAATGGATTAAACTGATAGATTTCCTCAACATTCTACACACAATCCCCCATAATGAGAATGTGAAGAAAGAGTTTTACAAATTGCTGCAAATATATAAAAAAAATTTAAAGCTGTAAAATCACATGTACATCAGTATTTACAGGATTTGCCGTGAAGCTCTAAATGGAGCTCAGGTTCATTCTGTCTCCTCTGATCATTCTGGAGATGTTTCAGCAGCTTCATTGGAGTTCAACACAATACTGGGAAAGGAAACATTTCTGCTGCTCTGAAAGTTCCAGTGAGCACAGCGGCCTCCATCATCCGTAAGTGAAGATGTTTGACCACCAGGACTCTTCCTAGAGCTGGCCGGACATCTAAGCTGAGTGATCGGGGGGGAGAAGAGCCTTAGTCAGGTGATCAATAACCCGATGGTCACTCTGTCTGAGCTCCAGTGCTCTTCTGTGGAGAGAGGAGAACCTTACAGAAGGACAACCATCTGTGCAGCAATCCACCAATCAGGCATCTGTATGGTCGAGCGGGCAGACGGAAGACACTCCCCGCCTGGAGTTCACCATCTGAAGGACTCTCAGAGCATCAGAAACTAAACTCTCTGCTCTGATGAGACTCAAACTGAACTGTTTGGAGTGAACGCCAGGCGTTACGTTTGGAGAACAGCAGGCGGCGCTCATCAGCAGGCTAACAGCATCCCTACAGTGCAGCATGGTGGTGTTGGCATCATGCTGTGGGGATGTGTTTCAGCAGCAGGAACTGGAAGACTAGTCAGGATAGAGGGAAAGATGAATGCAGCGATGTACAGAGACATCCTGAATGAAGACCTGCACAAGAGTGCTCTCCACCTCAGACTGGGGCGACGCTTCATCTTCCAGCAGGACAATGACCCAAAGCACACCGCCAACATATCAATGCAGCGGCACAACAACAACACAGCGAATGTGCTTGAGTGGCCCAGCCAGACCCCAGATCTAAATCCTATTGAGCATCTCTGGAGAGATCTGATAACGGCTGTACACCATCACTTCCCATCCAACCTGATAGAGCTTAAGAGGTCCTGCAAAGAGGAACGGGCAGAAATTCCCAAAGACAGCTGTGCAGAGCTCGTGCATCACATTCAGGAAGACTTGAGGCTGTAAGGAGCATCAACAAAGTGTTGAGCAAAGCCTGTGAACACTGATGTACATCTGATTAATCAGCTTTTTTAATTTTAATAAATTTGCAACAATTAAAAAACTCTTTCTTCTCATTGTCATTATGGGGGATTGTGTGTAGAATGTTGAGGAAATTAATCAGTTTAATCCATTTAGGAATATAGACTGTAGGACTATAGGAAAAGACTGTAACATAAGCAACACAAACAAATGTGGAAAAAGTCAAGCAATATTAATACTTTC